AACCCTGCATCTAGAGTGGGGGGATGGATATGCACTCACAAGCCATTACCCCTACCTACTTCTTACAACTGTGTGCCTCTTTGAAAGCATGAGAACGTTCTGGATCAGCGGTTCCCAACAGGAGATGATTTTGCTGTCACCTCTGCCAGGGACATTTTTTTTTTTTTTTTTTTTTTGACGGAGTCTCGCTCTGTCGCCCAGGCTGGAGTGCAGTGGCGCAATCTCGGCTCACTGCAAGCTCCGCCTCCCGGGTTCACGCCATTCTCCTACCTCAGCCTCCCGAGTAGCTGGGACTACAGGCGCCCGCCACTGCGCCCGGCTAATTTTTTTCTATTTTTTAGTAGAGACGGGGTTTCACCATGGTCTCGATCTCCTGACCTTGTGATCCGCCCGCCTCGGCGTCAAGATCTGGAAACATTTTTGGTTGACATCATCAACTGGAATTTGTGGGTAGAGGTAGGGATACTGCTGAATATCCTACAATGCACAGACCAGCTCAACCCACCACTACCCACACACAACAGAGTATATCATCAGGCCTAAAATGTAAATAGTGTCAAGGCTGAGAAACCCCGTTCTAGAGTGAGGCCCATGCAACCAGGACCCTACCTCAGGACTATCTAGAGTCTATCTGGAGTTACCCACAAAAAGATTATCCAGACCCAGTCCTCAACCCTCCAGATCCCAATCCATGGTGACAGGTTAGTGTATGTGAGTGGATCTAAACTCCTGAACTGATACTCCTTGGTTCTCATTTGCACTACCCTGAGCTCCCAAGCAGAGGGGCTGAATGCATGGGCAGGCACTCCAGAGGGCAGCTTTCTGGAAAGAGAGACCAGGGCTAGAACCTAAACATCCAGCAGGATCACAAAAGGCAAAGTGAGGTACCAAGGTGGAACAAGCACCCCTCCCACCCCAGAACAAGCTGCCCCTTAGGACTGCTACAGTGGATATGTGCAGGGCAGCCAGGACTTCAAGGAGTTTAATCAGGGGGCAGCAGGTTCCCAGTATGTACAAAACAGAGTGGGTGCATACAATGTACAGCCACATGCACACATATACCGATTTACATTTTCCTGGGGGAAGGGTCCACAGCTTTCATCAGATTCTCAGAGGGGTCTACGACATCAAGGACCACTGTATAGAATGTGGGCTCTTCACTGGCTCCCTATAACGTGAGCTCCTTAGGTGAAGTGCCAGCGGAGGTCCAGGTGCTTTTGGAGATTCTTGATGCCCAGAAAGACCCACAGAGTAGTATACCACAGAGGCCCACCCAAGCGATGGGAGGTCATGGGGTTCAGATCTTACGTTTTTACCCAGCTGTAGGGCCTAGAAAGATGGCCAGGTTTCTCACATCATCTGTCTTGAAAGGGCCCCCAAGAGCTAGGGATTCCTCCCAAAGGGCAGCTCACCCAGATGGGGCAGAGCCTCAAGTGCCCAGCAGATACAAGGACAGATAGCAGAAAACACTCTTCCCTGGGAGGGGCACCCATGGCCCATGGCTCTGCAGCCCATGTCCTTGGCAGCTACCACTACACTAGGCCTGAGGGATGAAAGTCACTTCACTTCACTTCACAAGCTCGTTCCCTCCACCGAGGAAGTGGCCAAGAAACATCTTTGGGTCAAAGAATGGTCAGCCTATCAGAGCAATCAGGGCCTGCACTTCCTGATGGGACAGACAGAAGGCAGGTCCCTCTCCAAGAGCTCTGGACACTTCACCTAGAATACTGTTCACTCCACCCCCATAGGCCCTTTGATCTGAACCCCAAGTACAGAGTACAGAGACAGGTGTTAGGAGTTCTTGTAAGATACAGCGTTGAGTGTCCAGGATGTCCACTGAAATGCAAGAGCCAAATGGCTTGTTTCCCAAGGACACTGGGCCAGGCACAGACCACAAAAGACTTAAAGAACTATTAAAGAACTAACTGACCACTGACTGATCTTGTGACAAGCACCATGTGCCACTTATTACACCATAAATTCTGCCTTCCCTTCTGGGACTCCATTGTCCAATATGGTAGCCACTAGTCAAATGTTCCGCAGAGCACTGGAAATGTGGAAAGTTGGAGTTGAGGATGTGCTGTAAGGCACACACAGGATTTTGAGGACAGTACAAAAATGGAACACAAAATGTCTCATTTTAATACTGATTTCAGACTGAGATGATTACTTTGTATATATCAAATTAAGTGAAATACACTTTTTTTTGAGATGGAGCCCCACTCTGTCACCAGGCTGGAGTGCAGTGACACGATCTCGGCTCACTGCAACCTCCACCTCCCAGGTTCATGCGATTCTCCTGCCTCAGCCTCCGGAGTAGCTGGGACTACAGGTGTGTGTCACCACGCCCAGCTAATTTTTGTATTTTTAGTAGAGATGGGGTTTCACCAGGTTGGCCAGGATGGTCTCGATCTCTTGACCTCGTGATCCTCCCACCTCGGTCTCCTGAAGTGCTGGGATTACAGGCATCAGCCACTGCGCCAGGCCAGTAAAATATACTATTAAAGTTCATTCCATCTCATGGAAAGAATGTGTTCCCCCAAAATTCATATGATGAAGCTCTGACCCCCAGTGTAATGGTATTTGGAGATGGGACCTTTGGGAAGTAGTGAGGGTTAGATTAAGTCAGAAGGGTGGGGCCCTCAGGTAATGGGGACAGGATTCACAGTCTTATAAACAGAGGAAAACACCCCCTAGCCCCATCCCACCCATCATGTGAGAATGCAGTAAAAAGGCAGATGTCTGCAAGCCAGGAAGAGGGTCTTCACCAGAACCCAACCATGCCAGCACCCTGCACCCTGGGCTCAGACTTACAGCTTTCAGAACTTTGACGATATAAATTTCTGCTGTTTAAGCCACCAGTCTACAGTATTTTGTTATGGAAGTCCCAACTAAGACACAGCTGTTTCTTCTTCCTTTTATTAACATGACTACTAGAAAACGTTGTTTTATATGTATACATAGTTCATATACTATTTCTGTCGCCAGGACAGCATTCTTCTAGATGTTCCTACTAGCAGGCCATTGTGTGCTGCACAGGGTGGGGGTTATTCCAAACAGCAAGCCAGGAGCTTGAAATAAAAGGGCATCCCTGAAGCCAAAACAACGGAGGGTCAGGTCTGCTCCAAACTGGGCCTGGGGCAGCTCTTTTCACAGTTCCTCACAGGTCAGGGACTGGCTGGTGTGACTACACAAAATATCCAGTGACCCCCGACCTTCTTCCCAGGGCAGGATACACTGCTCAGCACTGCCTAAGCTAGGTGGCTGAAACGGAGGAAAAAGAAAATACACTCCTTCCAGGGGTCTGATGCCACCCTGCCCTGCCTAATGAGGGAGGTGTGAGACTGGTGTGGTCCCCAGATCCCAGGTTTGAAGCTGTCCTGTCTCGGGAGGAAGCTCTCCTAAAGGCCTGGGCTTGCAAGAGCCCCAGCACTTCCAGGGATCAGGCAAGCAGCGGGTCTGGAGGCAGCCCGGTGGGCTGCTGTGTGCCTATCAAGTCAGCTTGCTGCCACCCTCCCTCTGGCAGACCAATGCCTCCCCTGTCACTTTCAAGCCCTCCTTGGGGAAAATGCATCCCAAGGAAGCGGGGCAAAAAAGAGGAGCACAAAGTCCAACACGACCACCACTTTGCCTCCAGCACACAGGAAGCGGCTCCAGGAGAGCTGCAACACCTTCTTCCATATGGTTCTCAGGTGCCAATTGGTCTTTGCCTTCCCGTCTCCGCACTCAGGCTGTGCGCGCGCTACTAGCCTACAGAACTCACTCGCTTTCGGCGTAAACTAAGCCCCACGACGACGCAGAGGAGGAGGTAGAACTAGGGTGGGAATGGGACGGAGATGCCAAACCCCCAAATCTCCACCTCCGCAGCAGCGTGGGGACTCCGGCCCCGCCCCTGCACGCCCGGCCCCGCCCCTCGAGGGTTTCCCAGACTCCAGGCTGCTGCCACCGTGGGCGGCTGGGGACCCGCGCTGCATGTGTAATGGGGGCTGGGAACAAAGACGCGCAGGACCCGACGGCCGGGTACCAGCCGCCCCGACCTTCTCGCCAGAGCTTCAATGCCCAGCTCCCCACGTTTCCCAGGACTGGCCAGGGGACGTCCCGGCGCGCCCGCCGCGGTTAGGCGTACCCGGGCACCACTGGGACAGGGAAATTGGTGCTTGGGCCGCAGGAGAAAAAAGCTTTACAGGCGAACTCCGCTTGTTTACGCCCGCACCCACATACCCCCAAACACACATGCGATGGCCGAACACCTCCAACCACACGCCCACAGCCGCCGGGGAGCTGAGCGCAGGTCACCCACCCCGCCACGTGCCTCCCGGAGGCCCGAGCGAACGGGGACCTGTTGGTTTTCCATCTTACCCACCCCCTCCCCTCCCAAGTGCCCAAACAAAGCGGTCCCGCGAAGCGACCACACTCCGCATCCCGGGGCCAACGGCAGGGAAAGAGGGAGCAGGTGGGAGCCAGCACCAACAGCCCGCTGGGCCGGTAACGCGACGCAGACTGGTGGCAAGAGATGCAAGGGACTTTGGGCTGCGTGAAGCCGCCCCCCTTCGCTTCGCTACACTTACTGACTCTGAGCGACGTGCGACCCTCCCCGCATGCTGCCGCTGCTGCACCTACAATCCTGCCGCCCCTAATGAGATCTGCCCACCCCTCTTGGCCGCCTTCCCCACGCTCAGGTTTTCCTCACTCTTCCCCTGGGTTCCACGCGCTCGCGTAGCCCAAACTCCGACCCTGAGGCTCCGGGTCCCGGCCCCCATCGCAGGGGCACCTCTAGGAACCAGAACTCTGCAGACGACGGCACAAACAAGATCGTGTCCCCAAGATCGGCGAGCTGGGCGCCCACCGCGCCCCCAGCCGCCGCCCCGGGAGATGCGAGCTGAATACAGGTGGCGCGGCGACGAGGCCGCGGGCCCGCCCTTTGTTGGTAAACACCGCGCGGCGCCAGGGGCCAGCCCTGCGCTCCCTCTCGGCTTACCCGCGCCGCGCCCAGTTCTTACCGGCGCACAGCGATCCCCAGAGGAGGGCGAGGGCCGCCCAGGGCGCCGTCATGTTCCGCTGCGCCGCCCCGCGCACACCCGGAGCCCGCGGGCAGGGCCGCACGGCGCTCCCGGGGCGCGCAGGGCCCAGCGGCGGCTGCGCTCTCCTTCCCGCTCCTTCCTTCGGTCTCGTTCCGTGCGCGCTTCCTGCGCCTTCGTCCCCGAGCAGCGTTCGGGCTCCAAGGGCCGGTCGGCAGGGCCGGGCTCAGGGCTGCTGCGGGCGGCGCAGGCTGCGGCCCGGGCTCCGGGGCGACGCGGGGGCCGGGGGGCGGCGGCGGGGCACGGGCCGGGGCGCGCCCGACTCAGGCATAGCGCGGCGGGGCTGGGCCCGGGCCCCGGGCGCAGGGGCCGAGTCCGGAGGGGCCATGAACGGGGGGAGGGGTGGGGGGAGGGGAGCTGAACCGAGTCCAAAATGGCTCCTGAGCGGTGGCCACGGAGCCGAGCCAGCGGGGAAACCCGGATGTTGGATACAAAGAGGCGGGCGGGCTGGGCGGGGAGGGGGAGGGGAGGCGGGCCCTCCGGCCGCGTGGTCCGCGCCCCCCTGAGGGGCGGGGCCCCAGAGAAACAACAACACGGAGGCCCCGCCCCCATCCCGCGCCCGGTGGGAGGACGCGCATGCACCACTCTGCGCACTGGGTGGTGGACGGAGGTGGCGGGAATGGGTTCCTGACCACTTTGCCCGGGAGCCTGTGGCCACTGCACTCGCAATTAGTGCCGGCACTCTGGAGCCCACGCTCCTGACACGTGCTACCCTACAGCCCCGGAATGAGTGGATAGCCCCGGGACTCTGGCCCAGACCCCTCCGCGCCTTGGATTCCCCACCTGTGCAATGGGGGTGACGGTGGACCGTGGGAAAATCGGATGTCTTCTGATGGGCGAATTAAGTGGCAGAAAGAGGCTGACTTCCCTGAATTGACAAGCAGTCCCCTGTCTGCAGTCCCTTGCCACACACTCAAAGGCACAGGTAGGGATCCTGGGGAATGGTGATTTAAACCCAACCAAGTGAGGGAGGGGGCAGAGTCCCGCCCCTCCAAGCCCAGCAAGTGGAAAAGGGCCTCTGGCAACCTGCTTACCCTCCCTAACCCCATCCCGTCTTCAGCATTTCCTGCGCCGCCCGCAGCGACCCTGAGCTTCAATCTGCACCTTCAGAACTTCTCAATTGCTTCCAGAGCCCTGCAGTTGAAGATCTTGTCTAGCACATGGTTTTGCTGTTTTCCTCACCCGTAACTCCCTCCTTGGAGGGCCATCGTTCTCTGTCTCGGATTCCACCCTCCTTATCACACAACTAGAGCTTCGGAGGAACCTGATGGGGCTCCCAAGTAAGGAGGGAAAGACCATCATAGCTCAGGGATGAGGCTCCGAGATCCTCAGATAACATTAATTGTCCTTTGTCTCTCGACTTGACATCCTTGCTTGGAGCAGGGCAGGAGCAGCTGAAAGGGAGGTGGCACCTTGGAGGTCTGGGTCATTTCACTTTTCTGAGCCTCAGTTTTCCCATATGCAAAGTGAAGAAGTTAGACTCCTTCAGGGTCTTGCATCTTCTTAATGGCAGAAACCTATTCAAACAAAATCTTATGTAAATGTTCACTATAGGTGGAGCGAGGTGGCTCACACCTGTAATTCCAGCACTTCTAGAGGGCCAGAAGGCGCTTGAGGTCAGCAGTTCGAGACCAGCCTGACTAACACGGCAAAAACCTATCTCTACTAAATAATACAAAAATTAGCTGAGCATGGTGACACACACCTGTAATTCCAACTACTCGGTAGGAGGCTGAGACAGGAGAATCGCTTGACCCCAGGAGGGCGGCGGAGGTTACAGCGAGCTGAGATTGCACCACTGCACTCCATCCTGGGTGACAGAGTGAGACTATCTCAAAAAAAAAGAAAAGTTTACAAAGAAATGTATATTGTTCTGATTGACACTGATATATGGTCAACTACCCCTGATCATCAGAGCACCAGGAACACCTCAGGGACCACACTTTGGAGGCACTGCCCAGAAAGATTTCTGGGTCTTTAAAAGTCCCTTCCAGTTCTGGGAAATCCTGTGTGAAAAATGATGGCCCCTGCTTGCTGCAATCCCTACAGGTGACCTATTATCTAAGCCCTTTAACACAGGATTGAATACTATGCAGCTGTGTGCCAAGCAAGAAGCAGTGTTGTATGGTACACCTTAGCTGTGTATAAGGTATCTGGTAATACCACAGGAGGCCACAGTGATAGACTGTGATAACGGAAGTAAGTCCATATCCAGTTTAAGTGTCTTTTCTAGGGAGTATAAATTGTTATCTCCATTCCAATATGGACTGAAAGGTATCAACTTATCCATGTGCCAAAAATTAGATTGGCTAGTTCCTCTCTTCTACTCCATACCAGGTCAGGTATCATCATAAGGGCTCAGAGTGGTCCAAGCTGCCCAAATATCTGTGTCTTCCACTCTGACCTGTCTGGGAACTCCAAATTTATATCCAACTGCTTACTTGACAACTATAGTTGGTAACCTATCAGGCATCTCAAGTTTGACCTAACCAAAGCAGAAGTCCTCGTTTTCCCCATCAATCTCCTCCCCCGTTTTCCCTGTCTGAATCAATGGCATAAGCAACTACACCATTGCTTAAATCAGAACCTTATGAGTCCTACTGAAACCAGCCAAAGAGTCCCATAGACAGTTGTTTTTGTTTTTGTTTTTGCTTTTGAGACGGAGATTCACTCTTATTGCCCTCACTGGAGTGCTGTGGCACGATCTCGGCTCACTGCAACCTCCACCTCCTGGGTTCAAGTGATTCTCCTGCCTCAGCCTCCCAAGTAGCTGGGATCCCAGGCACGCCACCATGCCCAGCTAAATTTTGTATTTTTAGTAGAGGCAGGGTTTCACCCTGTTGGCCAGGCTGGTCTTGAACTCCCAATTTCAGGTGGTCTGCTTGCCTAGGCCTCCCAATGTGCTGGGATTATAGAAATTGACCCTTTTGCTGTTAAAGCTTGAAACTTACTTATTTTATCTGAGTTCCTTCCTCAGGAAAGGACCTTCAGTCCTCTCACAAAAAGTATCAAAGAACTGAAGCCACAAAAAGTATCAAAAAACCTGAAACCAGATCACTGCACTTGATGGTGGGCCCCTCAGTCACCATGATTGCTTCCTTGCCCCTCCCATGTTCCTGTTTTCTTACATATTGTTACATTTCTTTCCTGCAGTATAAACCCTTGGTTTTGGTCAGTCAAGGAGATGGATTTGGGACTGCACTCCCAACTCCTCGGCTGCAGCACTTCATTAAAGCCTTCCTTGGCAATACTTGTCATCTCAGTGATTAGCTTTCTGTGCACTGAGCAGCAGGACCTAGACCAAACCCCTGATGTTTTGGTAACAATACTTGATTCCTCCCATATACAGTCCATCAGCCAAATGGCCTCAGAAGCGTTTCCGTCACCCAACTACTTTTTTCCTTTTTTCCATGTACGCTACTGCAACATTGTCACTGTTGCAAAAGCAGTGAACTGGAAGGGATCTTAACTGGTCCTCTGAATTCATTCTTGCCTTAAATAAATCTTCCATATAGTAACCGAAGTGGATTCCCTGCCACCATTTTGATCATGAGCTCATCAAGCAAATACTAGGCTGCTTGAGAAAGGTGATAATGGATATTTGAAAAAGGAGTTCTTTTTGGGTTTTCTGTTCTTTTGAACGACTACAGGATTGCTAAATACCACATTTGATGTCAGACATGGGGTGACCGAAAACTGAAAGGCAAAAAAATCCAAAACCCCAAATGTCTGCTGTAGAATTTATGGCAGTGAGTTCTGCCATTAAGGCATTCAGTGTGTTAGGACCACTCTTCCCTGGCTTACCCACTCTTCAACAATCAAGACCAGAAACCAAGGAAATGAGAAGAATCAGTTGAACATGACATTCTTTAGTATCAAGCTCATGAAAGAAGATGGAAAACTATAGAATTGTAATAAGACTTAGTATCTATACAATTATAATGAATTCTATTAAGGTATTAAATACATTTGTTTAGCAAGATAAACTTTGAAAGTAACCACAATTTTTATAATGTTATTTGGGGATTTCTTCATTTGAGAAAATATAAGTGACCTCACCCTCTCTCAGCTTCTGAGAGGCCCTGGTTAGACATACCCTGTAGAGGGTAATTTAGGCATAGCAATATGAAATTAGACAATTTTGTGAGAGTACCATTCACAGTGTATAATTGTGGGGGGAGAGGTGGGCAGTGCATGCTTTCTTTGATAGTACAATTCCCCCAAGACTTAATAAGCTATCTGTTATTTCCTAGACATAGTTCTCAAAGTGCTTTATTTCTTTGCCTTATTTATTTTCTTCCTGGACCTTGTACTTCTCCCTGCCTTCTTCTCTTAATGGTAGTTACTTGAGGTCAACTAAATGAATTGGCCTGGGTAGAAAGCTAACACTGTCTCTCAAGAGAGATTAGATTATGCTGTGCTAATGGAAAAATCCCAAAACCTTAATGACTTAAAACAACAAAATTTATATCTTTCTAGTGATACATATTCATTGGAGGTCAACAAACAAGCTCTACTCATTATAGTAACTCAGGGACACAGACTAAGAGGGACCTTTTGATATATGCTTCTACTATTGGAGAGACAAGGGAAAGACGGCATGTTAAATGCTGGCTCTTAAAACTTCTACCAGACTGGGAAGATGATGGTTAGGTTGTTGGTTGCATTGTTTTTCAATCTTTCAAAATCTTCACATGAAAACACAGAATAAGCTGGGCATGGTGGCTTATGCCTATAATCCCAGCACATTGGGAGGCTGAGGCAGGAGCATCACTTGAGCCCAGGCGTTCAAGCCTAGTCTGAGTGACATAGTGAGACCCCCATTTATTAAAAATAAATAAAAGTAAGGCTGGGCATGGTGGCTCATGCCTGTAATCCCAGCACTTTGGGAGGCCAAGGTGGGCAGATCACGAGGTCAAGAGACGGAGACCATTCTGACCAACGTGGTGAATCCCCATCTCTACTAAAAATACAAAAATTAGCTGAGCGTGGTGGCACATGCCTGTAGTCCCAGCTACTCAGGAGGCTGAGGCAGGAGAATCGCATGAACCCAGGAGGTGGAGGTTGCAGCGAGCCGAAATCGTGCCACTGCACTCCAGCCTGGTGACAGAGTGAGACTCGGATGTCTCAAAAAATAATAATAATAAATTAATTTAAATAAATAAAAATAAAAAACACAGAGCAACTGTATGGAAAAAACCAGACCATCCAAGTGCACTCACCAAAAAATTAGGTGACAAGATTTCCCTCAAAACATCAAAATACAAGCAAATGGAGACAAACTACTAACAGCAACAAAAGCTGTGTGGGCCAGCCTCTGCGCAAGAGGGAGCAGGATATAACAGGGTATATGTCGTACCTGAGAACCTCCAAGAATTCCCACAGGATGGGGA